GATTTATTATGGACAGATCTAAGGGCAGAGCAGCTTCCGGTCAGATCCGTAGGAACACCACCCGGTATTCGCATATTTACCTTTAGGGCAACTAGGGTAGTTGCATAACTAGCCTGCTAAGAAGTTTGTTTATTTTATCACACAAAAATTAAGAACCTTATAAATAGGGTTACCAATGCAAGTGGATTTTACTTGCGCCCTATTGCGGGCCCTGTAATTTCAGCGCAATTCCGCGCATTTCCACGCAACAGAATTCCTATTTGAAACCCTTCATACATATAAATGTTTGGCCGGGATTCAATTATAAAATATTCGGCTACCTTGAGTTTATACTTGCTTGTTTTCAGGAGTTTTGGCCACAAACCTTGATTTTTTAAAACTTTTAATACTTGCGACTTGTTAGATCAATTAATCAATGTTCGAAATTTTAAAGATTTACACTTGATTAGAAAATTCGAGTTTGTGACAAGAACTCAGTTCCTTTCCATTGGTTCTAACTGTTCTATAACTTAGTTTGATTAATGATAAAAAATTGTGCCAATGCTGAATAATCAGATGGGGTGTTAAACTGAACAGAAGGAAAAGGGGAAATCTGTTTACAGCTTTATAACCTTTAAAGGGACAGACCGGCTAAGTAAGGAAGTTGAACTGAATATACAGTGTTGTGGACAAATTCATTTGAGACCGGAGAAAGGTTAGAGTATTTGAGACTTACAAAACTTTTTTAAGATCTGTAAATCCTGAGTTTGAGTGCAAAGTCGACGTTCAAAATCGTATTTTCGGGTGGATACGTTTTCAGATTTGTTTTTATTTTGATTATTAAATAATGACGACAAAAAATGTAAACAAAATTCTACAGTAAACTAATTAGTTGTTAAGGAACAGGTTGAGAAAATGAAAATTAATCTTATCATCGAAAATTAGTAATCTTGTTCAATTATTAGTTTCTATTTTTCCATTATTCTAGTTTCTCATTATTCACAAAGATTGTCTGCAGATTTTTTGGAATTATTATTGAAAAGACGACATTTGAAGAATTTGTAGAAATCTGCGAATAAATTTACAGAAAATAAGAAATTCAATATAATGATGAAAACGAAATAATTGATTCTTGCATTGATTTATTTTAATTTTTTTGAGAAACATGTTCCTAACCATCTAATTAGTTTACTGTATAATTTTACTATATTTTTCGTCGTAGTTATTAACGATTAAAAAAAACCGATTCTGAAAACGTTCCCGGACCCAAATTCATGATTTTGAACGCCGACTATGCACTCAAACTTAGTAATTATACATCGTGGAAAAGCTCAATATGTCTCAAATGAATTCTAAAGAATGTGTCCACAACACTGCATACTCAGTTTAACTACCTTACATAGCCGGTCTCTCCCTTTAAGCTTCTCTAGTTTTGATTTTACGCATGAGAAAAATAAACCTGTTCGGTAACAAATTATACAAATTCAAAACATGATCGAAATCAGAAAAGCTTTAAATATAACTTGGAATTTATATATACCTTAGCCTTAAACTGGTGTATATCAATTAGTGGCAGATTTATGTGTAAACTCTCCACTAACAATACAACATCTCTGTGAATAAAAACCTGGTGCAAATATAGCGGACAAACAAGTATTAGAGAAGAATTTGTATAAAAATATATTTTAAAAAAGGAAAATCTTAATAGGACAGTGTCACTTATCGTTTAAAAATCATCTTTAACTTTCTTACTAGACGGAAAAAATCTACAAAATTTCCTTTTGTTGGTAGATAGTTTCAACTGCTTCGAAAAAACTTGATGGAACTAGTAAGAATATATTTCGACATATAGTACATAATCTTCCCAATTCTTTAAGGGAGTTTTCGCGAAAAAATAAATGGGGGTGTAAGCGAAAAATTATCACTTTTGTTCGCACTAATCTTACCTCTATCTGTTGCGTGCCTATAAGCAGAAAATTGTTAAAAACGGCTTATGCTAAAGAACGTAGTCCATACAAATTCAGAAAGTTGCAATATACAACTAGGATCGTAAAAAAATCAATTTATTTTTAAACAAATCATTCAGTTATTACAACCTATGTCAACTCATTCATATATAGTTGGTATTTCATAATATTTATTATTTGTTTTACATACAATTGCTCTTAAAACGACGTTTTTTCAGCTAGGTGTCTCTGCCATGTGTAATCATTCAAAGCATCGAGAGCAGAGACATCTGACGGCCAACTATTTTGGCGTTTTAACTTCATTGTATACAAAACAAATAAAAAATATTATGAAACATTAACTATATATAAATGCGTTGAAAAATAATCGATGACTATAGGTTGTACTATCTGAATGATTTGTTTGAAACTAAATTGATTTTTATGATCCGAGTCGTATATTGCATCTTTCTGAATTTGTATGGACGCTACGTTCTTCAGTATAAATCGTTTTTAACAATTTTTCTCCTTATAGACAAGCAGATAGAAGTGAAATTGGCAGCAATCAAAAGCGATTATTTTTCGCCGTAAGCCTATACCCCTTTTCGTTTTTCGCGAACACTCCCTGGTGTAGTGTTTAAGCAGAAATCATGGTTTAGCCCCACTCTATATATTTCCATTAAAAAACTAAAACTAACTAAAATCTAAGAAACGCAAATATATAATTGATCCTAAATCAATTTTAGAAAATAACAAGTTAACTATCTTTCCATTAAAATGAAGATTCTTTGTATTTAATATTTGTAAAAATGAATATATTTCAGGATTTGATATTTAGCTGTCAATTTAAACATTAAAGCTTATTTTAACAAGAATAATCCTGATATAACGGGAAATTGTGCTATTTGGTTCATGTAAAGATAAATATATATTTTTTTTGTTCAAATATAATACAAATTCAGAATTCAAACCTCAAATAAACACATCATTAAATATTTAACATTCCTCTCTGCAATAATAAATGAATAATTTTTCTCTGTAATGTTTCGTAAACGAATTGTTAACACACTACTTTAAATAAATGTTAATTTAAAATGTTCCATATACGATTTACAATGGGCTCCTGAGCACCTGTATCTTGGAACAATTCAGTAAAGCCAAGGAGTAAAGCTCTCTATCCGGCCGGAAACCAATCCCTCCCTACTCCCTACTCCCTACTCCCTACTCCCTACTCCCTACTCCCTACTCCCTACTCCCTACTCCATACTCCCTACTCCCTACTCCCTACTCCCTACTCCCTACTCCCTACTCCCTACTCCCTACTCCCTACTCCCTACTCTGTACTCTTGAATATCGTTAAAAAGTATAAGATAAAATCTTGAAGTACGGAGGTAATTTTTAGAACTGTCAGGAACACATCTCATGTTCTTCCGCATACTTATTTTAAAATATTATAAACTGCCATTTAATAAACTTACTTACAGTTACATTTTAAGTGCTCTTTCTTCTTTAAATTCAGTATTATATGATATTATTCAAATCAAATCAAATCAAATCATTTATTTGGCCACAAATTAAACAACATTCATATTAATAAAAATAACTAGACAATTATATATATATTTTGTGGCCGGGGAGCTACAAGATAGCTCAGGCTGTTTTCACACGAGCTCCCCTGGTTCAGAAAAATAATGATTAGATTCAAACGTTGTACAATGTACATTAATGGAGCACATGAATGGCGAAGAGTAGCGGAGGTGGCGGTTGGAGAACAGGAGGCGGAAACATGGCGTCAATCTTAACAGTCAGAAGTTTTAGGCTCAATAATGTAAAAGATTGTTCTTGATCAAGAAATATTATTACTACATGTTATTCTGATCAAGATAAGAGATCAAGAATAAGCTGAATATGTCTTCAGACAAGGATACATATATATGATATTCATTATATGTATCAAGTATTAAAAAATATGAACAGATCATATTAAAGACCATGGAAACCCCAATCTAATAGCCGATTGCATTCAAAGTTCGATAATCTATCCAGAAAGTGTTGCTTAAGTTTATATTTAAATTCATTTTTACTAACAATACAAGACAAATCTGGGTCAAGTTCATTCCAACAGGAAGTGAAAGAATACAAAGGAAATCTATTTATAAATAAATTTTTACCTCTAGGAACAAAAAATTGATCGCGATTTCTTAAGGGGTATTGGTGCATCTAAATATCAAAATTCCTGGGGAACACTGGATCCATAAAGAAAGAAGGAGGGGCGTACCTAAAATCTATGGAGTGCATGAACGAAAGTTTTTGATGAAGAATAAGGTCCGGGAAGGGGAGTATTTTTAATTCATAAAATAGAGGTTCAGAATGAGCATTATATCTAGCTTTAGCAATTGTTCTAATACATTTATACATTATTATTTTATTGTAGAAAAGGAGGAACCAAATTATTTCAAATTATACTCTTTTAATGTTTTAATATGACTCATCCTTATGTACATGAATTGTACATGAATGAAGTTTTAACTGTGGTATCTTTAATCCATTAAGAGAAGACTCTACCAATACAAGCTCTCGAAAAAGTAAATATTGTAGAATTATGAGTCAGCCGTTTTCACTAAATCGCTTCAAATAAAAAGTGTTCACTTTGAATATCAAATTCTAGTGTTTAAATATCGGTTTGTCATTTAAAAGGTGCAAGTTTAAGTATCTCTCCTGTTTAACCTTCCTCCGGGGGGTTCACATCCTCACAGAAGTTTTAATTAACAAATATTTGTTTACAGGAATAAAAAAACTTTACTGAACTTGGTTTTAATAGAAAGAGATTACAGGGAGGGGGGGGGGTGGATTATAGCGGAAAAAATATGGGCAATGGTTTGGAGTTTATGAGGAGCAGTAGAATGGATGACGGATGAGGGCAGTGAGAGAAGAAATGATGGATGAGAAGAAGGACGGGTTGACGGGACCTGGAGCAGCGCTGAAAGGAGGGATGAGAGAGAGGTTTCAGGTTTCAGGTTCTCCGATGGATCTGAGAACCAGAGGACTCTAGTCTCCCAGGTGTTAGTTTGTATCCGACCCTCGGCCCTTGAACCTCCGATACCGGCCTAGACTTTGAGTTCCGAGAAATACAAAAATAAAAAGGTATTTAAACTTAGCCTATTTTTTTTACTGTAGAGCAAACAGGAATTGACAACTGAAAAAGGCGCCTCAAAAGAAACCATAAACAAATTTTGATTCATTGATGTAATTTTTCATATTCTACGTTTTTTGAAAGAAAATTATTAAAACCCATACTATAGAACCAGGGTTCGATCTGCGAAAGGTGTAATATATGTAAGGATATTAGGGGGACTAATCTTCTATGATGCATCTACATCAGCTTGAGTTGGCTGCATCATATTTTCAAAATCTTCTATGCTGCATCTACATCAACTTGAGTTGGCTGCATCATATTTCCCTAATCTTCTATGATGCATCTACATCTACTTGAGTTGGCTGCATCATATTTCCCTAATCTTCTATGATGCATCTACATCAACTTGAGTTGGCTGCATCATATTTTCCTAATCTTCCATGATGCATCTACGTCAACTTGAGTTGGCTGCTCAACTAGTTTAATTCCTTTCTATGTAACACAGCACAGGGTTTGTTAAGGTTTACAGTAAATATATAAATTCATTAAAATGATTATGAATGACCTTAGTGATAATTCACAATTATGCTCAATCCACTTACTTTCTCTTATTTTCGATTTTAACAACCATCCTGCAGTATTTGATACATTTCCCTCACTTTCTATGAGGCTCAATTATAAAAAAATAATGGGGTTAGTGTTTAGGGTCACATAGATTCAGCCTGTATATTGATTCTCATCAATTTGTGTGACAGGGTCGACTTTGAAGTGTCACAACGCCTTGAGCTTTGATTTTACCGCTATAACTCACTTACGCTTTTCTGTAGCCCTTTACATGATTGTTTTAGCAGTATAAAGCACTTGTTGCAAGCTTTGGTTTTAAAGAAGTAATTGCCAAAAATCCTATCAATTTTTGCTTCATTGCTTGAGACCTTATAAATTACGATTGGTTGGTGCTCCTAAATCAATCCATAATCTATTCTAAACAATCTTAACCCGTCTCTAACAAATAATTGGAATTGCAAACATGTTCATCCTGAATTTCTAATTTCTTATATCTTTTATCAAAATAATTTCTTGTTCTATATAGTTACAACTTTGCATTGGAAAGAAACATTTTCAAGATTAAAACATAAAAAAACAAAATACGCAAAAAACTCGGAGATGGTAGGATTTAAATTGGGACCCCCTGCACTTCACTTGTCCAAAAGCTCATGAAAATTGTTTATTACATGAAAAGACAGTTTCCTAAAAATATTGAAGATTACTACATCAATAAATATATCTGGTAGAGTCTAGTTGAATGGTTTTATTATATCTATAAATTGATAAAATTTCTATTCCTTCATATTACTTTCATAGGACGCATCATTTTCTAAGCATTAGGAAGCTATGACTGAATACCAAGGAATAACTTAAAACTGTTCAATATGATATCAAATATGCAGGGTAAAAAATGGGATAAGCGTTAAGTTTCACACAACATTTGTTGTGGTTACAGAGTTAATGTTTTAGATTAAAAAATATGATATATTTTTTTAAAAGGCACGTCACGCCGGAAAAAAGAAAATTTGGTACATAGAAAACAAATCCGTTAAGTACAAAATAAACTTTACAGAAATGTATTAAAAATATTTTGATATTCTATTGACAAATGATAGAGATGTCGCAAGAAATAGTTAGTGAAAATCTTTACCAAAGAAATTTAATAAGACATCAAAAATGTATTTCTTGTTTACAAATCTCCCATATTATAAATTACATTTCGAAGCTCTAAATTATTGGAATAGAAAGATTCATTTTTCTATTTTTATAGTATTTCATTAGATGTGAGGCTGATTTGTACTGATTGTACATAATGGAATAAGATTACTTATTTACGATGATAATAGTTAATCTTATTTGCTCAACATGTTCCGAAACAACTAATTAGTTTACTGTAAAATTTTTACTTATTTTTTTGTCGTCGTTATTAAATATCTTTTTTTAACCCGATTCTCAAAATTATTCCTCAAAAATGAACAATCTATGAGGATCTTAAAGATTGAATTAGTGCTCTTGCTGAACAAATATGCACCGTAAAAACGTCTCTATAGGTCTTAAATGATTCCTAAAAAATTTCTCTACAATACTACATTTTCAGTTTAACTACCATATATTGCTGGTGACTCCTTTTAAAAAAGCTGTTTATTTGTTATTATTGTTTCGAAAATCAAAATATGAAGTTCTTGATTTCATTAATAATATTGTTCCTGGCCTAATTGTCTTATATTTGGTTTACCATAGAGCTGACTGATATATATAATTGTTCCTCAAGTTCATAACTTTCTTTCATCAATAATGGAAAAAAAACTTTTGAAATAAAATAATATCCTGGCTAGCACTTTCTCCTCTTTTTCAAGTTTTTAAGTATTTTTATAATTAATAAGTATTCGTTTTAGAAAGTTAAATTTTAGCATAAAAATGATATTTTAAATTAAAATCTGATTAGTTTAAAACTTCCGTTAACAGATCTCAATATATAATATTATTTTTACTAATGTTATTAAGCTAAGAAAAATAGATGTATTCCATATAAAGTTGAAATTTTAATCACACACAAGTAAACGCACATAACCATATCCTGAAAAGAAAAGCTGTTTAAATAAAATCTAATTAAAAACTGCTTTTATCGTGTTTGCATTGGGATCGTAATTTTTAAATGTAGGAAATTAATTTAGTTTTTTTTTTGCATAATAACTTGTCCTTAATTTGTTTGAGAGTTTACGACTTACGTTTTACTAATTTCACTCAAAACTTGAAAATATACCGATAATACTTTTTATTAAATACAGAAATTCATTTCACTTGATATTATAAAGTAAATTACTTTTTATTTTTTGTTCAAAATATTTTGATTCAAAGCTGTACTGTGGATTGTTCCCACGACAAGATATCAAATATCTTCTTTGAATCGAATGGAAGAATATAAAGAAGTTCCTTTTTTATTTCTTGATAGAAAAGTATTTTATGTATTTCATTGGGAATCAAGACTATATAATAATTCGCAACGAAATGAGCAACATGAAATCTTAAATCCCGGCCTCCTTCATATCGCTAACTACAACATTCCACCAAAACTTCGTGCGCTATATTAATCATTGCTTTCTGAAGCAAATGATCTATGTATAAATAAATTGATTTTTTATGTCTCTAGCAGCCCTGGTTACAGCGCCAGGCTCCAAGGAGGTCTGAGATCTTTTTTGGGATTAAAATGTTGACATGAATTATACTATCAATTATTAAATAAACTAAGAAACCACGATTATTAACGGAATTCCTGTTTTTAGAAATATTTAAAACATAATTGAACACATTAATTCCACCAGGAATTAGGGAAACTGCATTATAAACTAAATCCCCAAGATGTTACGTTAGAATATTTTACTAAAGATAGACAAAAACATACGTAAAGGAATGGAGTCTTTGGCACAAACTCAAATTTTCTAATCCTTATTTCTTTGCAACCTGATTATGTAAAAATTTTACATTTAAAACTTAGACTATTTTATCTAACAGCATTTATAGTTTTAAATATCTAAATTCTCAGAAATTGGGTTGAAAAGATCCCATATCATTGATAGTAAAATCAGAGTAAACTCAATCCTTCACTTCTTCTAAAACATTCAGAACATTGAGCATTGACGAATTTTAATTTATTTTAGGTTAGTCAATAAAATTAAAGAAAACAGGCTAAATTGTATTACATAATTACAATCAACATTTATAGAGATCGAACTAGAAAATTTTACCTAAATCAAAAAAAAAATACTAAAATATATATTTTTATATCCTAAAATAGTTCTAAAAACTTGTTCAATATCTTGTAAATTAATCAATAAAAAGGAAAAGTTTACAAATATTTTTTATTAAAGAGAAATGTATAAAGTTATATTTACACAAAGTATTACCATCGATGTTGAATTAATTTGACCATCTCCTTCTGTCAAGTTTGCAGTGAAAGGTATCAACAATTCAACAATTAAAAGTACAAGAAAAATGGTGAAAGGTTAAAAAAGAACTTATACATCTATAAATGTAATAATTTGATAGAAAATATGATATTTAAAGGATTTTGTGTTGTGCAATATTTAAACATTTCTTTATTATTTATTGCTGAGTGTATAAAGCTTAAATCCCTCGGATGCAGTTCAGTTATTTACCCGGAGCTGAAATACAGACATAAATATAATACTAGCTGGAGTACCCGACCCAGGGTTTACATTCTTATTCATAGTTACTCTCGCCCTTTACCTGCTCGTGGTATTAAACTATTTTAGTTGAAGTGTTTGGCATTGCTCCCGGAACTTTAAAACTTTTATAATTTTTTGGTACCAATGGGTTTCCTAAAAAATCCAGTCATTTTGATCCAATTGTTTGACCAGCTAAAGCGAACTTCTATATGTACATATGTGAGTGAAGAGCTTTATTCTATGTATAGAATAGGACATTATTAGAGTATACATAAATACATTTTTCATAATCTGACTGACAAGTAAGCAAAACACTCACATAAACTTTAATTTTGTAATCTTTAAATCTATGCAATCTATCAAGTAGTCTAAACTATTTTAAGCTATAAAAATTTAATCTATCAAAGTTTATGGGGAACAATGCGATGTATCAGCAAAACGATAAAATAAACATATAAATTAAATTAAATGAAATTTTTAAATATGCTGGTTGCAATCCCCTATACCCTTCCTCCGACAAACCTCCTTATCTCTCTCCTAACTGCTCCAGAACTCGATGTCAAAAGAACTATTTGGAAAGGCCCTACAGTGTTAAAGCAAGATTAACAAGAAAGAAGAAGAAAACTTTGAACAGGAAAATTAGGAGGGGATTTGAGCTTTACACTATTTTTTTCACCGACAGGGAATGAATACAGGATGGCAGACGTCACACTCACATCCCCCCCCCCCCTCTATGTATTCCTACCAGAAATAAAACATGCTGGAAAATGTGTAGA